AACTGTTCTTCATATGATTTAGCCTCCAGTCTCCCTAATCCTCTTTGTTGCTCTTCTCTGCACTCTTTCTAGAGTCTCCACACCTTTTTTTGTATCGTGGTGTCCAAAACTGGATGCAGTATTCCAAGTGTGGCCTTACCAAGGCATCATAGAGTGGTATTAAGCGATCTTGAGTCAAGTAATTAAGTCTTCTGTAAGCATATTCCAATCTCATACAGGAAACTATTCAGGGAAGTACTTCTGTCGGTATATCAAAGCCTCATTTCATTATGAACAGAAGCATAACTGCGCTGTGTCTCTCTCTCTCGAGAATTTTGCATTCATCAAAGGGAGGAATTGCAACGCGAGACCGTCAAACGGCAAAAACAGCAGCGGAAGCTGTTCCTATCATATGAACCACTGAAAGGATCTGAATAATAACCCACAAGGGAATTCTGAATGAGTCCCCGGCGATCCTTCATAGCTCCTTCCTACAAAAGCGTAAGTTGCTTTTAAAGCTATATCGATTGATTCCCACAGATCTGATGCAAAACTCAGTTTAACAGAGTTGGAAGGGACCTTGTAGATCATCTAGTCCAACCCCCACCCAAGCAGGAGACCCTACACCATTTCTGACAGAGGGCAGTGCAGTCTGTTCTTGAAAGCTTCCAGGGATGAAGCACCCACAACTTTTGAAGGCAAGCTTTTCCATCCATTATTCCTTGTCTGGCCTTCGGGTGCTTTGGAAAACAGAGTTGGTTGGTTCATTCTCCCACCTCCAGAAGTTAGATAAAGAGAGATAGATAGACAGAGAGAGAGGGAGAAAGAGAGAGAGAGAGAAAGAGAAAGAGAGAGAACGAGATGGAGAGACAGAGAGAATGAGAGGGAGAGACAGAAAGAGAGAGAGACAGAAAGAGAGAGAGAGAGAAAGAGAAAGAGAGAGAACAAGATGGAGAGACCGAAAGAGAGAATGAGAGGGAGAGACAGAAAGAGAGAGAGAGAGAAGAGAGACAGAGAGAGATTTCTCAAGCTTCTTGGGGCTGAGAAGAATTGCTGCAAAACTGAGTTTTCTGAAGTGGACCACTAGACTCCTAAACAACTGAAAAAAAATGACCTACCCTGTTTCCCCCAAAATAAGACATCCCCTGATAATAAGCCCAATCGGGCTTTTGAGCGCATGGCAATAAGGCCAAGAGCTTATTTCAGGGTTCAAAAAAATATAAGACAGGGTCTTATTTTCGGGAAAACACGGTAGTAAAAAGAAAAATCAACCAAAAGAGCAACATGCAAACAAAAGCAAATAAAACACCCCCAGGAGCAAAACAAATTAAAGTTTAATTTGTGTGCATTGTTTAATGGACTGTTAAATTGGCCATGCCCACCTAGTCACATGACCTAGCCACACCTACCCAGTCGGTCCGCCCCCCCCCCAACAGTCTGAGGGACCGTGAATTGGCCCCCTGTTTAAAAAGTTTGAGGACCCCTGCATTAAACCAATTCCAATGTCAGGGTTCCAAGTAATAGATCCATTTTCTAGGACATGCCCACAAATGACTTGATTCCTGTTTCAAATGATAGGAAAAATGGAAAGAGCCAGGCGCTCTGAATGAATGCCTTTTCGCTGTTCATCGGCAAAATTTCTGGCCTTCTGCACATGCTCAGAAGTAATTCATATGTGCTCCAGAAATGTCTTGCTTAGAATCACCAGCTTACTGCAGCAAGAATTATGAACAAGTTTCATTGTTCATATGAGTCACGGTGGCGCAGTGGTTAGAGTGCAGTACTGCAGGCTACTTCTGTTGACTGCCGGCTGCCTGCAATTTGGCAGTTCGAATGTCACCAGGCTGAAGGTTGATTCAGCCTTCCATCCTTCCAAGGTGGGTAAAATGAGGACCCAAATTGTTGGGGGCAAGAGGCTGACTCTGTAAACTGCTTAGAGAGGGCTGTAAAAGCACTGTGAAGCAGTATATAAGTCTAAGTGATATTGCTCTTCCTTTTCTCCTTCCTTCCTTCCTTCCTTCCTTCCTTCCTTCCTTCCTTCCTTCCTTCCTTCCTTCCTTCCCTCCCTCCCTCCCTCCCTCCCTCCCAGTGATTAGAATGCAGTATTGCAGGCTAATTCTGCCCACTGCCAGCAGTTCGATCCTGACCGGTTCAAGGTTGACTCAGTCTTCCATCCTTCCGAGGTCGATCAAATGAGGACCCAAATTGTTGGGGGCAATAGGCTGACTCTGTAAACAGCTTAGAGAGGGCTGTAAAGCACTATGAAGCGGTATGTAAGTCTAAGTGCTATTGCTATTGGCAGCATTTCTTCTTCTCTCATGCTTACAGCTTCCTCAGCAGCTTCGGGAGACTTCAAGTATTCCTAGAAACTCTTTTTTGATTCACACTTAGCATATTGAAATGCTGTTGGAATAAAAAAAATTATGGCTTAGAAACCAGAAACCATAAGCAATTCTTCTTCCCTTGCCAGGCCTATCAGGGACACATTTTGCATTTTAATTTCCTCTTCCTGAAACTGTGAAGTTGTACAGTACAAGGAAAAAAAGCTGAATGTTCCTAGACCATCTGTAAACTGCTGATACGTGCACAAAAGCCTTCCTTGCCGGCATATATACTCCAAGATATTCTGTAACCAAAATCGAGCTGTGAGATCCTTTAAGAAATGTACAGCATCTTGCTCTAGAGACAACCTTCCTATATCCTAGTTTACTGCTAAGCAACAAACACCCGTAGCTCTAAAAACTTTAAGAATGTAAATATACATGCTTAGCTGGTGCCCAGCAATTCTTGGGCGGTTCAGGAATAAAAAGATAAAAAAAGAAAAACCAGGAAAAAACGTAATTATGAACAAAAGCAAAGAATAGAATAGAATATATTTTTTTTATATAGAGTAAAAGATGACGAGGATGGCTGACCTGCTCAGTCCACAGATGGCTACACTCAACCTCACCAAAGGCCTAAAAATCAGATGAATCTTTCCCCTTTAGCTTTGTTGTACGTTGCCCAGAGTTACTTGTGTGGTCAGATGGGCAGCTATAGAAATTGGCTATAAATAAATCGATGAGGTGAAATGCCATGGACCACCTCTCTCTCTCTCTCTCTCTCTCTCTCTCATTCTCTCTCTCTCTCTTTCTCCATCTCTCATTCTCCCTCATTCTCCCTCTTTCTCTCAGTCTCCCCCATTTTCTTTTTCCATCTCTCCCTCATTCTCCCCCTCTCTCATTTTCTCTCTCTTCTGCTCTTTCTCCATTTCTCATTCTTCCCCATTCTCCCCCCTTTTTCTTTCTTCATTTCTCTCATTCTCCCTCTCTTTCTCTCTTTCTCTCGTTCTTCCCGCTCTCCCTCTCTTTCTCCCTCTCATTCTCTCTTTCTCCTCTTTTTCTCTTTCTCCATCTCTCTCTCATTCTCTCATTCTTCCCCCTCTCCCATTCTCCCTCACATTCTCTCTCTCTTTCTATCTCTCATTCTTCCCCCTCTCCCTCTCTTTCTCCCTCTCATTCTCTCTCTCATTATCCCCCTCATTTCTTTCTCTTTCTCTCTCTCTTTCTCTCTCTCTTTCTCATCCTCTCTCTCTCTTTCTCTCCATCCAAATCACATCAAATCAATTTTATTATGATCTTAGATCAACATAGTCACCACTTTCCCTTCTCCTCATCTAAAAATGTCTCACTCTTGAATCATGCTTTCCTATGCTAGCATTAAAAGAATCCCGTCCCTTTATTTTCTAGCATTGTCCAAGGACAACCTCAAGGTGGTTACATTTTGTGAAGTTATGTCCCTCTTTACCAAAGAGTGGAATCAGGAGACTAAAGTGACTTGGAACAGAGACCAGAAAGGGGTCTGGAATAAGGACAGCAAATTTCATGCCAACATAGTTTTCAGCCAGATGGCACACAGCACTGCGACTCAGCAGTTGGAAAGTTGTTTTCTCAAAGGGCTTGTCAAGGTCCAATTCTCAAGTGTGTGTTTTGGGAAGGAGGGATGGATCTCAGCACTTTTTAGAAGTGGAAAAAGATATTACAGAGAAGTAAAGGGATAGACAATACCTTATTTTATTATAACTGAGACATTTGAAAGAAAGATGCTCTCTTAATACCATCAGATGTTCTGATGCTGCCTTCAACAGGACTTAAAACCTCTTCAAGAGATGCAGCAATATTCAAACAATATAATTTTCCTAGGATTCCAAATTTTTTTTTAAAAAAAAGTTTCCTTTCTTTTTTCCCCCCAGACACTGGCCACCAATTCATTTGACACTGAGCAGTTAAAAGTTAAAAAGCCGATCGCTGAAATACGACCCATCATGAATTACAATGACAAATTGTAAACACTGTTAAGCACAGCAAAAGCTTTTGAAACAAACTTTTTAAAAAGTTTAACAAAGGAACTTTAAAACCAAGAATATTAGCAGCATAAAGATCCAAGCCCAAATGGACCCCACAAAAAAAGAATTTTGAGTGCAATTAAAAGCTAGGAATAACAGAATAACTGAGTTGGAAGGGACCTTGGAGGTCTTCTAATCCAACCCCCTACTCAGACAGGAAACCCTATACCATTTCAGACAAATGGTTGTCCAATCTCTTCTTAAAAACCTCCAGCGTTGGAGCATTCACAACTTCTGGAGGCAAGCCATTCCATTCGTTTATTGTTCTCATTGTTAGGAAATTTCTCCTTAGTTCTAGATCTGTTCTCTGCTTGATTAATTTCCATCTTTGCTTCTTGTTCTGGTGCTTTAGAGAATAGGTTGACTCCCCCGTCTTTGTAAAAGCCCCTCAAATATTGGAATACTTCTATCATGTCACCCCTAGTCCTTCCTTTCACTAGACTAGACATACCCAATTCCTGCAACCGTTCTTCGTATCTTTTAGCCTCCAGTCCCCTAATCATCCTGGTTGCTCTTCTCTGCACTCTTTCTAGAGTCTCAACATTTCTTTTATATTGTGGCGACCAAAACTGGATGCAATATTCCAAGGCATTATAAGGAAATGAACTGCAGAAAAGAGAAATAAGGTGCCACTTACCGCCATCACAAGCTCAAACGGGTACTTGTAGACTCTAACAGGGGATTGATATTTTTGCACCATTTTTACTTCACGATGCCTACGAAGAACGAGAAAGCAATTGGTTAAATCCTCGGCTCTCCGCGTCAACCCGTCGAGCGAAAACACCTCGGTTTTTTATAATGGATCTTCTATTGGAAGTTAAAACAGGGGTGAAAGGAATCAGAAGTGCGCTTGAAACAGATTGTCTAACATAAATGCCCAAGAAAAGAAAATGAATTAATCCCAATGGTTCAAAAAGCTAAAATACCTTTTCTTTATTTTGTTGCCGCCCTGTCACTACTCTGAGAGGACATCGTTTTAAAGGCTGCTAACTCAACCCCGATTCATTCTCAATTCATCTGCTATTTAGCAACAGGGAGAGAACAGACTCCAAGTGGTAAGAGGGCATACTTTACAAAATGTTCTAGGCGCACAGTTGAGAAAATTATAGCATTTTGACAAGTGACTCAACACCAACTGGTTTACCTTACAATGAACAAGAGACGCCGTGGGATTTGAACACCATCTCCGCAGCTCTCAGCGCCGCTGGAATTTTTCCTCTCTGCCCCCGTAGCCGTTGCTTTGAACCCGCACGCACATGGTCGTCCAAGAATCCAGGAAAAGAATGGAGCTACTCTTAGAACTAATTAAATTGCTTTTTTGCAAACCCAGTAGGATATGCTGCCTCCGCTTGGTATTAAATGCCCCTGAAGGTTACAAGCTTAGAATGACTTCTTAATTTAGTTTTTTTTTTTCTTAGTGCCTGCTCTGAAAAAGGGAGACAGTTAACTGCTATTCTAATAGCAAATCCTTCCTAAAAGTTATTGCATTATATTCTTGATTAAATTATCTTTCCATTGATGTATAATTTTATGGTACTACTCCCCCCCCAAAAAAGGGGGGGTGTTATTAGCTAGTTTTAGAAAATACACTTTTCCCAAAAGGTTTCCACAATTTTGGCCACTACTATATGTAGGACAGACCAGGAGGAAGCTAACTGCCAGATTACAAGAACACAAGCGAGCGGTCAGACGAGGAGACCTGAACTCATTGGCAACCTCAGACTGCAATGAACAAGGACGCACATTCAATTTTGCAGCTACTAAGATTGTTGGATGAGCAGGCACAAAAACAGCCAGGGAAGTGATTGAAGCCTGAGAAATGGGCCCCTGATCAGTCAACAGGAGTGCTGATTTTCTACCAGCCTATCAAGTACTTAGAAGGCGAAGGCTGGGCAGCACAAACAAACAACAGCCAAATGACTTAAAAGCCAGCCATCAACACACCCCAATCTAAAAAGCCACCTACAACAAGCACCAGCGGTGGGTTTCAGAAATGCTTACTATTGGTTCACTGCGTGCGCGCACGCTTGTTTTGCACGCCTGCGCGCCTTCAGTGCATACACACCTTTCACACGTGCGCCCGGCCTCGAAAATGTGGCTAAATAGGACAGCATTAAATCCGGGTGGGTGGGCAGGCCCACCCACATTCACCGCTACCAGTTTGCCTGAATCGGTGCGAACCGGCAGAATACCACCTCTGACAAACACCAAATAAATACCCCACACAGAACAGCACACGCTCTGCTAGACATTCCCTGAAGATGGGCTCCAGCTCGGAAGACAAAACCACTGGTGCCGGTGACAGACCCAGATTGGACCTTAAGTAACCTGGGCCCACCTTTTCAGGTAAAAAAACCATTGGATGCCCCAGTGGTGGTATTCAGCCGGTTCTATCCAGTTCGCCTGAACCGGTAGCGGCGGCTGCGAGAAGCTCCCACCCGGACATCATCACGTCCCGATTTTGACGCTCCACGCATGTGTGGAGATGGCGCGTGCAAGCAAAGTGAGCGAGCGCTCACATTTGCGAACCGGTAGTGAAGGTAAGTGAATAGGTAAGTGAATTTGCAGGACCGCCTTCTGCCGCCGATAGCCTCCCACCGACCAGTACGCGCCCACAGAGAGGGACTCCTCAGGGTGCCGTAAGCCAGGCAATGTCGGCTGGCGACCCCCAGGGGGAGGGCCTTCTCTGTGGCAGCTCCTGCCCTCTGGAACGATTTGCCCCCGGAGATATGAAGGATATCGGATCTCCGGGTCTTTCGCCGTGCCCTGAAAACTTTTCTTTTCCATCAAGCAGGGCTGGCGTGAACCCCCTCCCCCTTTTTTAGTCTTTTTAGTTTTTTAGTTTTAAATTGTCATGGGGTTTTAAATTGAATTGTTTTAAATTGGGCCTGTTATATAATTCTTTTAACAATTTTAAATTTTGTATCTGCATGTGTTTTAGCTCTGGCTGTTCACCGCTCTGAGTCCACTAGGAGAAGGGCGGTATACAAATTGAAATAAATAAATAAATACCAGCCCTGGGATGCCCTCAAGAAAGGCAGCTGCTACTCAAACGTTCTGCAGAAAGAGAAAGGAGAATGTACCTGAAATTTAGCGTTGGCTTGCATTAAATCCATAAATTTTCATTAAGTAGCCATCTGTGTAATGCACTCCTGGATAAAAGGTATCATTCGCTGGTGCTACATTGGTAAATCCGTCTAGAGAAAAGGGGGAAAAAGCAGACAGAACAAGCATTGGCCAATGCTAAAGACAGAATCGAGATACAGCAGCTATGTTGGGAATTACATAACAGATATTTGAACCTAGATGGAGGACAGACCAGCTGATGATATGCAGCCCTTGGATCTTGAAATGTCCAGGAGCTGCGGAAGCTTGTGACAGCCCAAGAATGTTAGCACTAAATCCAATTTAATGTGGGTTCTTCAGGATGATTCAGCCATTTATAAATTTATTGATTTATAAGAGGCAGATTATCAAGGCTTGGGGTCTCTTTGAGATGACTCTGCTTAGGAACAACAAATAAAAGAGTTTCATTGATAAAGCTTCATGGCTAGAAAAAGCAATAGGTTAGTATTAAATAACTGCTGCTTGAAACAAAAACAAGCCAGAACATACTTAAAAGAAGTTGAGGAAAGATTCTGATCCAATATATCTAAATATGAAAATAGAAACATTTTTTTCTTACTAAATGGAAGAGAGTTTTCATGCTGAATTTAGTAGTTGGTTCCCAAATCTATAAAAATTCAGGAGATGGTTATGCTGGCTGGGAAATTCTGGGAGTTGAAGTCCAAGACCGAGAAACACTGATCTATATGTTAATTGGGTGGCCATATACATTTGTTTCATAAATAAATAAATCACCCCAAAGTCAACTTCACGGAGGCCCCCATTTTTATATAAAGTTTTATTAATTTTCTACTATTACATTTAGTAAGTGCTGAATAAACATTGTGTTGTCTGGGTAATTTTGTTTGCTTAGCAATACCGTGTTTCCCCGAAAATAAGCCGTCCCCCGAAAATTAACCTTCTCCGAAAATAAGCCCTTCCCGAAAATATTTAAAGACATGTGCAGCTGGTTTCCGCCATTCCCTCTGGTTAGGGTTAGGGAGACAGAGCTGGAAATCAGGTAGGATGGCAAGAGGAGCCCCGTCTCGCTCCACGCGCCCCAAAATAATAAGACCTCCCTGAAAATAAGGCCAAGCTCTTATTTTGGGGTTCAAAAAAATATAAGACAGGGTCTTATTTTCGGGGAAACACGGTACAAATCATATTCCTAATCTTTATCCCATTTCTCCAACCATTGATTAAAAAAAAATCCATGTTTGGTAGTATTCTGTATCTTCTTTCTATTTAATCTTCAATGTGAGTCTGTCCATTTCTGCACAGTCCAATATCTTCTTAACTATCTCTTCATCTAGTGGTATTTCTTCATTTTTTCCAATGCTGCGCAAAAACATTCCTTGCTGCTGTTAATACATGCAATATTAAATATGCACTTTGTTTATCGAATTTTTCTGGTACTATACCTAATTAAAAAAAGTTCAGGTTTAAGATCTACACGTTTTCCTGACATCTTTCTAGCCACTGGAGGCCCCCATTTTGAAGACACCCTTGTCATCTTGTCAAAGATTTCGATGGCCTAAACATTTAATAAGTAAAAATAAATAATTAATCTGCAAGAATCTTTTTATTTTTTTTTAAGAAATGGAATACACCAGGGGTGAAATCTACTTACATTTCCTACCAGTTCGGAAGTGCGCGCACGCCATCGTCACATCCTATTTTTTACCCTCTTCGCATGCGCAAAGCCTTCTGCACATGCACAGAGGGTCAAAAACGGAATACTTCATGGTTAAAACCAGGAAGTAACGACCTCTGGGTGGGTGGGTGGAGCCTCGCACTGCCACCGCTACCAGTTTGCCAAACCACACACCACCGGCGCTACCAGTTCGCCGAACCATGTGTCACCAGCGCTACCAGCTCGCGCGAGCTAGACAGAACTGGCAGGATTTCACCACTGGAATACACTATATATAAACCCAGTGTTATTTCTCCTGCAGCAGGAAACCCTTTTGAGTTGTTTCAACTTCTGGAAAGTTTGATTCCCCATCTCTCCTTCCCTTCAGCTTATGACTAAGTCATCCATTAGCTTCATATCTCTGAAAGCAAACCCATTTTTTCGCCACCCACACTGTGCTTCCCCCTTCCCTCTGCCTTCCCGAGCCCTTCTCCTATGCATTTATGCAAGCTTTTATGATCCTTTCATGCCGGGCGATGAATGGATCCATTTAATCTTAGCAAGGAGAGCTTTCCGAAGCAAGGTTGGGGCAGCTCCCAGCCTTTTATATCACCGTGCAAATTGTTTAGCTTTCCCCGACATAATTGATGGCTGACATTTAAGGCATCTAACAGAAGGTTTCAATCAAAGCAATGCAGGCAAGCAAGTAGTTCTACCTCTTCCAAAGTAATCCAGCTGTTTAGGTTTTCGAAAGCTGCGGGTGTCTTTACATTCTCAACCCTTACATAAATAGGCATTCTCAAGGCTTCCTCCCTTGAAAAACTCTTTGCGGGTTTGCAATGCAGAGAGCGAGGTGCTTCGGTCGTTGCCAAGAATTATTGTAATCTTCTGGGTTGGTTTGAGAAGCAACAGCAAGGAAAAAAAAACGTTCGGTGCATCTTTTTTAAAAAAATAATAATAATAACCTATTTATTTTGAGAAGCTGTTTTTGGGCCTGAAGTTCGCCTGGATGAATTCCTGTGGTTAGTGGCAGATGGCATCTGCACACACACATTGTGTAAATTACCTGCGAACGTATCAGTCCAGGGAGAAAAAGCTGGTAAACACGAGACCCAAGTGCTTATGCAAGAATAACCTAGAGAATTCTGCATGTCTGCGAGAGTTTTACAATAGCTGCTGTAAAACTGGACTGGATCAGATAGAAGTCAAGGCTGCTTTCCTGTTTTGCCCCAGCTACGGACCCCAAAGAACGCAGCACACACAGTCTGTACAAACCTTAGTTTACTAATTAAGGACTACTAATGAGCTTTCTTAGTAGTTGTTCGAACACAAGTACAGTTTAAATCAGTCTTTTCTGAACAAGGGCTGTTAAGTTAACTTCATTAACAGCTGACAAGAATCCAAAGAATAATAACTTGATTCTGAGGCACAGTATTTCAGATAACCGTAATATTACTGTGATTAGCTGAATGCCCAGAAGCAATTTGCAGGAAAACTGACAAGAGAGAAACAAGAGCCGAATCAAACATTTCTGGAATCAAGATGCGAAGGAATATGAACAAAGTTGTTTCCTGCAAATTGCATCAGTCGTCATCCTTCCTTAAATAGGCTAGGGGAATGGCCAATTAGCCCCAAGCCTTACTCTTGAGGAGACCTCCTCCTGAGGAGCCACTCCTGCCTTTTAACAGCTCTGCGTGCTTGTGCATCAAGAAGAGGCTTCTCCTCTTCTTCCTCTTCACTTATGGTAGCTTCTGGAGGTTCTGAAGGCCCTGGCTGAATCCCCTCCTCTGGCACCACATCTTCTCCAGTTTCCTCATTGTCTGACTCGAGCGCCAGCTGCACAGGCTGCTGGTGCAACACCACACCAGCCTCCTCGCTGTCGGAATCAGCTACTAACCGCACAGGCCGCTGACGGCCCACAACATTTCCCGCAAAAAGAATGAAAAGTTCAACATTTCATGATCTTTGCGGTTAGAATTTTCACGTTCTCTGCAATAAGGATGACAAAACCTGAACGCTTCACGCTTTCTGCCGTTCGATCTGAAGTACCAAACTCAATGTCTGTTAACTACATGGCAGAGATTACAGAATTTACTTGACCATCTGTCTTCAAATACAGGAGGTCCTGGACTTACAACAGCTCGCACAGTGACCGTTCAAAGTTACAACGACGTCACTGGAAAAAAAAGTGACTTAACACCGTTTTTCACACTTGCAGCCATTTTAGCCTCCCCGCCGTCACGTGATTTACATCTGAATGCATTTATGACCGTTGCAGTGTCCCCCAGGGGTCATGTGATCACCTTCTGTGACCTTCTGACAAGCCAAAGTCGATGGGGGAAACTAGATTCACTTAACAACCATATTATTAATTAAGCAACCGCAGGGATTCACTTAACAAATGCGGCAAGTAAAGTCATAAAATAGGGCAAAACTCAGTGTCACAGTTCCAAGTAACACCCCCAATGAAAGAAGACTCTGAGGCTTGAAGTTCCTCAAAGTTCCATTTTATGAGAGATGTCATATTGGCACATCTGGGAAAACCCGAATCTGAAAGCTTCCAGGGTTTCCCCACCTAAAGGAAAGTCCAAATCCCTGCCCAGCACCCACATGTCCATCACATAGCCCAATCCAAGCACCTTCCCAACTGGAGATGCCTCCCAGTTCCAGCCCTCCAGGGCAAGGCAAGATGTCCTTGACTCTATGAGAAAGGAATGTTATTATGACTATATATCACCCTTGCTCCATACAACCACCTCCCTCCTAGTTTCCCAGAGCAGTAAATGTGGCAGGCCTGAAGATCCAATGCAAAAGTTGGCTCCCAGGCCACCCCCACCCCCCCATCAGAAGATCGTATCCTGCAACAAGAGTAACACAGGGGGTTAATTCAAGAGACTAACCACCTCTTCACCCCCAGGGTGAAGATCTTCTGACATGGGGAGGGGGGGGGGCATGGCCTGTCAGGCTTGGAAGCCATCTTTTGCATTGGGCTTTCAGGCCTGCCACATTTACTGCTGTGGAATGACACTCAGCTAACCACATACATTTTGGGCTCAATTGTGGTCGTACGTCGAGGACTGCCTATAATATCTTTTTGTCACCCCACTAAAGCTGGTTGGGCATGCTCCAAATCCTGTCTACGGGCAGTCCTCGGCTTACAACCATAATGGGGACAATGTTAAGTGAATCACACCCAATTTAACCACCTTTTTTGGGGGGGCATATCTGTTAAGGAGATAGCTGCAGTGAATCATACAGTTATGTGAATCCGATTTCTCCCATTGGCTTGACATTGTTGTTGGAAGGTACAACGGCACTGAAAAAGTGACTTATGACTGGTCCTCCGGCTTATAACCTTGCAGTATTCTCCAAGGTCACATGATCAAAATCCGGTTGTTTGGGCCACTGGCATGTATTTGTGACGGTTGCAACTGGGGGTCATTGTGATTAGAAGTGGGA